CAATCATATCTTGCTAAGATCCATTCTGTAATGCATATCTTGGTAATGCCAAAGTAAATAATTGGTTCCCGATCTGATAACTCTATTTATTCCGTAATGTCCATGTCACGATTACAATTTGTTATTACACCAACACATCAACTATTGGACTGCCTTGAACAAGGTCTTCACTGCTCTATATACAGGCCCCGCATGGACCACCCACAGAAAACACATGACTGCTTAGCAACGGATATCATGTATTGTTGTCAGGCATGTCACCATGCACTGCCTAGCAATGGATGCCCTATTGTTGCGCATTCATTGCTTGGAACATGTTTACATATTTGTCTCCTAGAAATGGACCAATCTGTCACAATTCTAATATTATCCTCCCACCTGTGTCTATGTCTCCCTTGTGGCCTTCCCACCAAAATCCTGTATTCATATCTCTTCTTCCCATATATGCTACATGCTCTCCCAACTGATCCTCCTCAACTTGATCATTCTAATTACACTTGGAGAAGAGTACATGTTATGAAACTCCTCATTATGCAGTTTTCTCCAACCTCCTGTTACTTCATCCTTCTTCAGTAAAAATATTCTCCTCAACATCCTGTTCTCAAACACCCTCAGTCTATTTTCCTCCCTTAATATCAGAGACAAAGTTTCACACCCATAAAGAACCACAGGCAAAATTATAGTTTTGTGTTCTAATTTTTATGTTTTTAGAAAGCAGACAAGAAGACAAGAGGTTCTGGACTGAATTGTAGCAAACATTACCCAAGTTCAATCTCCTCTTAATTTCCTCCTCAATCAGGTTTTGATTTGTTATAATCATTTACAAATATCTGAATCATGCCACATTTTCAAAATGTCATGATTTTTCCATGCACTCTGCTGAAGAGACAGCAATATATACTTAGTTTTCTCTGTGTTTACTTCAACACTAACCTCCTTACTAGGAGTTTGTGTGTATTTTTTTTTTTGGTATCTACATTATCATCCAGTAGATTGACATCATTAGCACAGACCAGCAGCTGATGTGTACCATTTAATTTCAGTTCCATCGGGTTTTCCTCGACCTTCCGAATGGCATATTCTAAAGCAAAGTTGAAAAGCAGTGGCAATAAAGCATCTCCTTGTTTTAGACCATTCTGTATAGGAAAATTATCAGACAAATAATTACCTATATGGACTTTACTATACATTTTGTTTAAACATATTTTAATCAGAATAACTAGTTTCATGGGTACCTCAAACTCTATCAGAATATTGTACAATACTTCCCTCCTAACTGAATCACAGGCTTCCTTGATGTCTATGAATAGGTGATGTACTGTCTAATTATACTCCCATTTTTTCTCCAGTATCTGATGAATGCAAAAGATCTGATCTGTAGCTGATCTATTATGTCAAAACCCACACTGATGATCCCCATTAATTTCATCTAAGTATGGACTTAACCTAGAGAGAAGAATATTGGATAACATTTTGTATGAAGTTGATACCAGTGATATCCCCCCAAAATAATTACTACTGTCAGTTTTGTCACCCTTCCTGTGAACTGGTACAATAACAGACTCCTTCCACTGATCAGACAATTTTACCATATTCCAAAGATACTATGCTGGAATTTCTGTTGAAGGACCACAGAAAACCAGAAAAACCTAAAATCATCAATATCCCAGCCAAGATTCAGTCTAGGCACATTTGACATACAAGTCAGAAGCTCTATCACTTAAGCCAACTTCCTAGGTGTCCAGTAAATTCTGGAAGAAAAAATTCAAATAAGCCATAACCTCACCAGTTCCAGCTTACCTTTAACTGATGCTCTATATAGTTTTCCAGGTGAAACAGCAATTCTAAATAACCAAAGAATGAATAATTCATAAACTGTCAAAATTATATCCTTGCAGCATATTAAACACAACATGTACTCCCACCTGCTTCTTAATTTCTTTGGCAGCTTGTAGTTGTTGAATTGCGGACTGTGCTACAGCTGCTGCAGCATTGACACAATCTGCCTGCGACTGTGAAGGCAAGGTGATAGCACTGCCCTGAAATCAATAAACCAACCAAGAGAACTTCAATCTGCAATCCTCTGCTTTTCAAGCATGTGAGATGTGGGGATATCAAAACAATGATTATGGCAATATTATGCAACATGGTGGATGAATTAGCTAGACGTGAGCAATGTTATAAGAAAATAACTGGTGTTTGCGATGTTCCCATGATCGGAGTGTTCAAATAATAAACAGAGACCAAAGTCAAAAGTGTGTAAGTTGTAAAGTGATTGAAAACTCGAGAAGTGACTTAGAAGAATGTAATAATATCTTAGGAATAGCAAACCATTAAGTGGTGAAAGAAGCTATTCTAATGGAAATTAATGTTTTATTAGGAAAGATAGAGTCTAAAACCCCAGACTTATAATTGGCAGAAAAACGAGGATGGTTGGTGCAAGGTAACTAAGGGTAGTAAAAGACGGGTTTTAGTAAATAGCCAATCTGTACCAGTATCAAATAATGGTTTTCAGCCTCTCAATAACTTTAATGAAGGTGAATCTGTAGGAAGACTCAAAATGCATGAACAAAAAATTGAAAAATGTGATAAAGCTGTAGTAATGGAAAGGACGACAAAGAAGAGAATTTTAATGCTGGGTGATGGTCACACTAAAGGAATGCCGCACAGAATTACTGGGGTTTTGGACTTTTTCCACTGTCCGGAATATTAGGTAATAGAGGACGTGACGTTTCAGAAACTGGATCTGTTTCCGTCTTTAGGTGAGAAAGGAAGACACCTACTCAGTTGGGACCTTAGAAAGAGCTAATCTCAATCACTGGTCATGCCCTCTATTACTTAAAATTCTGGATGATGGTAAAAGTCCAAAACCCCAGTAATTCTGTGTGTCATCCACCACTGTCAGAACCCTTTAGAATCTATTAAAATAATTACAATGAAAATGCAACATAACCTAGAGAAGAATTATGTAGTCCAAGGAATAGTGAAATCAAGTGCAGACTTGGAAGTGATATTATGTTCTAATATGAAAGAATCCATGAATTTAACTAAAAAGGACTTTTTAATCATTCGGGGTGGTACTAAAGAAGCAAGCAGATATGAAACTCAAAAAGGTCTTTCAAATATTCTGAAACACATACAAATGAACCTAAATACTAATGTAATTGTCTTGAGTCTACCCAAAAGAAGAGACTTGGAAGAACCATCCTGTGTGAATACAGAAATTATGAATTTTAATAGGAAGCTATGTAAGCATTTGAAATTGTTTGACCCTGCGGACCACACTGAGATTGTGACAGAAAATAGACACGGTCTGCACTTGAATTCAAAAGGTAAGGAATATGTTGCTGAGCGGTTAGTTACTTTTATAGAAACAAAATCAAATAAAAATGAGCAGATTGTTATACCTTTAAATTGAAAGAAGGCACAGATGAAGGATAAAATGGAGAAGTGTGAAAGTAAGGATAGTATTAGTTCAGAAGAAGTTCAAGTAACCTTATCTGTGGACGAAGGGAAACAGTATGGAAGGAAAGTGAAACAGTTGTTAAGTAAGCAAGTCAGGAGACAACCAGCAAACAGAAATGATGATTTTTTATGGTAACGCCTCAAAATATAAAGAATTCGAAGCCTTTGGATAGTATCTGGGATCTAACATAAATAGTAAATTCTAAATACAAGCATACAATGTGCAACTCGCTAAATATTGTGACATGTCTAATCGTTGTGGGCCAACGGGAGGTGGAACAAGTTACCATGAAGACAGACTCTTGATAAACGGTCGGTTGTCAGGTTACACAACAGTAAGGGAAGTGGTGTTTCTCCATGCCGTGCCAAGTAGAGCCAAAGTGAGCCAAGCCGAGCTGAAGCATGATGGTTGCTATGCAGCAATAAACAACTCTTGGCAGCGTTGCCCAGCAACACCTGTAAACACGGCGAATACGCAACAGGGAAGAGGCGCATTTTCCATTGTCTGGCTGAGGGTTTATAAGAGAACTGCACTGCCTAAGGAGTCAGTTAAAATGTAGCAGCCGCCAAAGACAGTTGAATTGTAGCAGTCACCGAGTTCAGCTGTAGTGAGTGAATTGTGAAGAATATCAGATCATGTAATTAGAGGCGATAGTGTGAGAAGATATTTGGAGTGTGTAATACAGTGACACTAGTATAGCTCCCATATCATACTGGTAATAAGTGAAGACTGCTGAAGATAGAGTGAACAGCTTATTGTGTAGGGTTTGTAAACTGTGTAAAACCACAACTGTGTTATAATTAATTGTAGTTACGATTTGTAGGTTGTTAAATAAACCAATTAACAATCCGAATGGAGTCTTCAGTGACAAAACACGTTACAATATATTTCATCAAAATATCAGGGGCTTTCAACATAAAATTGATGAATTGACTAGTATGTTACTTATTCACAACCAAAGTTCACATGTACTGTAATTTGTATAACTGAACATTACTTAAGAGAGCAGAAAATCTTAACGATTAAACCAGACAATTATAGTTTAACCTGCAAATTTTCATGTTTACTCAATAAAGGAGGAGGGGCATGCATCTACTTTAAACTGGATATGGATTGTAATCCAGTTGATATAACTCAATATTGCATAGAAAATGTTAATGAGGCATATGCAGCCCAGATGAAAATTGGCAATAATTTCATTATAATATTATGTATTTACAGATCTCCCTGTGGACATGCTGAGGAATTTATTAAGCAACTTGAATTAATTTTAAAGTTTATACATAAGCCTAAATTTGAAATAATAATATGTGGTGATTTTAATGTAAATTTCTTAGAAAATTCAAGTCAAGTTCAACAGGTTATTTCACTTTTTCTAATGTATAACCTGTTTCAGGTTGTTGATTTCCTTACCAGGATAAATAAAGATTCTAGTATTACAAATAATATTTTTTTTGGATTATAGCAGGTTAAACACATTTTTAGTGTTTCCCGTAATCAATGGACTTTCAGATCATGATGCCCAGTATCTGATTGTATATAATGTCTTCAGATGTCAAAGGAAAATGAATAGATTTGTTAAAAGAAGAATTATAACAAAGTTTACTATCAAAACTTTTACTGATATGCTCCAAATTAAACCTGGAAAAATATTTTAAGTAATATGGATGTTAATGTAAGTTTTAACTTATTTTCAACACCTTTTTAATTATTTTTGAAACATGCTTTCCAGTGCACTATGTAAAAAATAATGCATATCCTAATCAATGGATTACAAAAGGTATTAGAATATCCTGTAGGCATAAAAAGTATTTATATATGACGTGTAGAACAATAAATCACCCAAGATTAAAAGAGTATTATACTCGATACTGTACTTTGTTAAGGAAAGTTATCAGAGGAGCAAAAGTGATGTATTATGATGAAATAATAACGATCTCAACCAATAAATCAAAAGTGTCTTGGAAAATCATTAACAATGAAATAGGCTGAGGGCAGATCAAGAAATTTACCTATTCTGAGCTGAGAGATGGAAATGTAAAAATTGACATTAATAAAGCAGCAAAGTTATTTAATAATTATTTTGTAACTTCTGTGGATAAATTAATTAGTCAACATTTTAATAACGAAGGTTTTCACCTCTACTTCGCGAGGGCTCTTCTGACAAGTTCTCTGAAATAGTAAATATTTCAATTACTGCCACAGAAGTGTCAAGCTCACTTTCATCATTAAAAAATAAGACTTCTTGTGGATATGATGGGTTGTCTAATAAAATTATCAAATTATGTCGAGAACAGATAGCTAAACCACGTGCTCATATTTGTAATCACTCAATAAATTCTGGCATTTGCCCTGATTGACTGAAATATGCAAATATCAAACCACGTTTTAAGAAAGTTGATGCTGCAGAAATTTCCAATTATAGACTGATATCCTTACTAACATGTTTTTCTAAATTATTTGAAATATTAGTGTTCAACAGGTTAAAACAACATTTAGTAAATAATGATATTATTGCTGCTGAGCAATATGGATTTCGTAGTGGTGTTCCTACAAAAACTGCTGTTTTCAAATTAACTGATCTTATTCTCAAAGCATGGAACAATAAAGAGCTTGTAGTAGGTGTTTTTTTTTTGTGATCTTACAAGGGCATTGGATTGTGTTAACCACAATCTTTGAATAAAAAGTTGGAGTATTATGGAGTGAAAGGTTCTGTTTTGAAATGGCTTGAGATTTACTCGTACTTATATAATACACATAGGACACAAAGAGTTGTTTTGCAGACTTGCAATTCAGTTACTGCAACCTCTGAGTGGAAAACTAGCAGGTATGGTGTTCCCCGGGGATCTGTTCTGGGCCCACTGCTGTTCAATGTCTATATTAATGATTTCCCAAGTATCCTAAAAAATATAGCGCATGATATTTTGTATGCAGATGATACCACAATTATAGTTACTTCAAATGATCTAAATACTATGAGTGATAAAATAAATATAGTAATGAAACGCATTTCTAATTGGTTTCAAAATAATCATCTGGTACTTAATTTGGGAAAAACTCGTTTCATTAAATTTTCTACCCCAAAGGTTCCAGAATACACATTATCAGTAACATATAATAATTTAAGTCTTAAAGTTGAAGATAATGTTAAATGTTTGGGTATATATGAGGGGGTACCCAAAAGAAACCGAACTTATTTTTTTTAAACTTATTTATTCAAATTTTATGCATAAACCTTCAATCCCCTTCAAAGTACTCTCCACTTACACTAATACACTTGTCTAGTCTTTTATTCCATTTTTCAAAACATTGTCTAAATTCATCTTTTGAGATGCTTGACAGCGCCTCCGTCGTTTTTTCCTTCACCTCAGCAACATCAGCAAAACGCTGATAATTTTTTAAAAAAAGTTTTGATCATTTNCATCATATGTAGATCATCATCTTATTTGGAAACAACACTCTGAAAAATTATTAAAAAATTGAATACAGCAGGTTTTCATGCTGAGAAAGTTACAGTTAATTGTTAGTGAGCAAGTTCTATGAATGATCTATGTTCCTCATTATCAGTCACAACTTGTTTATGTTATTATTTTTTGGGGTTCTTTCCCAGCAATGAAAAGCATTTTTGCGGCCCAAAAAGGGGCACTCAGGGTTATGTTAAGAATGGGTCCTAGAAGCTCTTGTAAAGAAGGCATTAAGAGAATGAGTTCTTTTAACAGTTCCTTGTTTATATACATATACATATATATATATATGCTATGATGATATTCACTGTTAGAAATCATAATATTTATCAAACAAATAATGCTATTCATCATATAAGCACAAGACAGTCTCAAAAGTTACATGTTTCTGCAGTAAGACTATCTTTGATTCAAAGAGGTGTGTTGTATTCATCGATCATAATTTATAATAATCTGCCCAAAAATATACAGATTTTGGAAGACAATGTGAATATTTTTAGGCACACATTGAAAAAACTTTCTTATTTCAAATGCTGTTTATTCAGTAGACAAATACATTTCAAGCAAAAAATTAGCTGGATATATGAATGTATTGTTGTTTGTAATTGTTGATGATGTGCCTAAGCTGTGATTGATAATTTCACCCACTATATTTGGTAGTTCTAATGGTGTATAAGTGGCTTTTGTCATTCTTAATTTGTTTGTAATTGTTGTTGACTCGACTGTTTCTTTGCAATCAAGTCTCTTTATAATGAGTTCTATATCCAGTCTGGATCAGACAATGGATCAGAGAAACTATAAACTACCGTGTGTGTGTGTGTGTGTGTATGTATGTATGTATGAAGGCTACTTACTGTCTTCTAAAGCGGCCTCCGTAGTCTAGGGGTAAGGTTCCCACCTCATGACTCAAGGTACGCGGGTTCAAAGCTGGCGGAGGTTGTGGAATTTTTAAGGGTGGAAAATTTCAGGGAACAAGTCCCCCGGGAGGGACTTTAAGCCGCGGGTCCCGTGTTGTAGATTTACGGCACGTAAAAGATCCTCATTTCTCTAGGGGACCTCTGAGCTAAATTAGGCAAAGTTTCCCGCCCAAGTAGTTTCCAAAGCCTCCAGTAGATGGGGNATGACAACATATTGGGGCATGGAGATGGCTTCACCTCAGCATAAGGTGAAGGTGGGTGGTCAACTTTATGCCCTGGCCACTGAGAAAGAATCCCCAGGACTCACTGGATAGAAGGCTGGGTGGGCCCCCAAACTAGCATAGATGCTGTGGAGGGGAGGAAAATCTCTCGTCCCTACCAAGACTTGAACCCCAGACATCCAGCCTACATCCATTCACTATACCAACTGAGCTATCCTGGCTCCTGTCCTCTGGGATATGACACCATGTAAACCAGTAGAAGGGTACCCATGGTTTGGAGGAACATGGAGTCTCCACCCAAGATGAAACTGTTACATTTTCATATCGCAACACATTAACAAAATAGCTCATTTGTCTGTATAACCAGATACACTGTATTTTAGGATCTGAAATTATTTTTTTGTATACTACTTGCCTGTGATATCTGAGTGCGGTAGTATTGCTGGTAATATTGCTGATATGCTGTGTACTCTGCAGGTGATGTTGCATATAAAGAAGCACTGTAATCAGCAAGACGGGGGATGTCCTCAAGTGTGTACTGTGTCAAATCTCCAACAGCAGAATGCTGTGGTAGTGAGTCTGTGTCCAGTCTTCCTGCTGTGGTTGTGCTACCTTGAAGATTCTGTACCGCCTTTCGATATGACACCAGCACTGGAAAGTAATGCTTGAACTTGTTGAACTTGTACCAAAATTATAAAATTAGGCACATTTTCTAGGCATGACTTTTTAAAAACCTTGTCAGGGGATTTCTATGTTGTTGCCAGTGAGAATTACTATGTTTGCAACATTAAAGCTGGAAACATGTATTGGATATTGCTGTATCCTATATGCACTCATATAAGAGTTTTTTTCCTTAGTATGGTCTGCTGGATTTTGGTGTTTTCTTGTTCGATGTTCAATTCCTGTGGTGGGATTCATTATAATTGTGGGTAGGATAATATTTCTCTTGTTTTCTTTCATCTGTTATGAAATGATGAATTCTCTTAATTGCCTAAGCTCAATATGGATGCTGTTGTTGTTGGGGTTTGTGTGTGACTATGGTTTTCTCCAACAATAAGGTTCTGCAGGCAGTGTGGTAAGGGAAGAGAAGAAGTTGGATGGAAAAGCTGGGCAGGAAAGCTGGGGAGGAAGCTAGAAGGAAAGCATGGGCATATAGAGCCCTGAAAAGGACAAGGTAGAGTGGTCTTAATGGACTGCTTGGAGAACCCCAACACAATAAATCCTACAAAGGAAGCTTCCTACATTCTTTTAGGGAGGTTTTGAAGATCTGATATTATGGGTGATAATGGTGACTTTGATGATGATTACACCCAATCAGTGACTCCTGGATTACATATAATTAGTGACAGTGACTGTGTAAATGACAGTGACAAAGAAATGTGACACATGATGAAGAGTGCATATGAATGGGAGGGGTCTGTATGTGCAGTACAGAAAACATTTTGTGGTAGCAATGTTCCATAGTTCATCATATCTAATTGAATACGGTGGACATGTTTGAAATCATTTCTGATCATGATGTGATGCAGCCAATAAAAAATGAAACTAACAAGTTATTCGAACTCTGTGAATCTATGTGTAGCATGAGTTATGAAGAAAGCAGTCTTTTGGGATTTGGCACCGTGTATAAGTGGTGTTAACCGACGTTTCGGAGGAACGTACTGCCTCCATCTTCAGGGTAGAAGAAAATATAAGAATTCTGCAAGCGAAGAGACCGTGAGAACCGGTAAAAGCAGACTGTTTGGGAATATACACAGCTATGTGAGAGCAGTGAGGGTGAAGGGGGAAGGGCAAGTATACAAGTGAAAGTAGTAGTGTGGGAGGGGTAGGGGAAAGGGAGCTGGGACAAGCGTGGTTTTTGTGTAGGGGAGAGAAAGGCAAGGTTAAAGGCTGGGCACTAATCCGTAAGCTGAGGGGGGTGGGGGTGGTTGTTATGTTGGTTGGTCATGGCCTGTGTGGCCTTCTGGATCTGGCGTCATATCCCGGTGGGGGTTTT